AAGTTAAGTTTTTCCTTCAACGCCTAAAAAACTCAATTTTTTAGTTTCATAACTTTTCTCTCATTTGCTGTACATTCCAAATTTTTCTTATACATAGTCTAATAGAAGAAAATGTTTTCTTCACAATGAGATGTTTTTACAGAATTTTCCTATGAGTTTTCGAGGAGTTATAAGCACCACGGCAAATTCTCTGAAAAACGTGACCTGTGTACAAAATGCGTTTTTTCTCGAAAACTACTTTTTTTCTACCAGGCTTCATTGTGCCACGTTTCGACCTCCCGTAAATTTCATCCCATCGAGTTAAAAATTTTACCATAGGTACTCAAGACACTATTGCAGAGGTATTTTTTTTTAGTTTAAACTTTTCTTTACCGAGCCATATCACCGGATCGAGAAATTCTAAAAGCTTGTTCGGTCAAAATGGACTGCAGATTCGTCTTCTCCATGGTTGATTATGTAGTACGCGATAACTTCTGGATCGGGGTACTTCAGAAAAAATTTTCGGCATCGTTTTGTTTTTGGTCCCATACGGTAACATTTTGAAAAATTTTTGAGCAAGACTATGGGAAAATTTTTTTCTAAAGTACTCCGATCCAAAAGTTATTGCGTATCATATAATCAACCATGGAGAAAACGAATCTGCAATCGGTTTCGACCGAACAAGCTTTTGAAATTTTTCGATCCGGTGATATGTATAGGGTTTCTAAAATTGAAAAACTTGGTTTTGGAGACGTTTATCAGTATTCTTCATATAACTCGGTAAAGAAAGGTCTAAAAGGAAATTCCAACGTTATACCTCTGCGATATGACCATCAGTGCCTCTGATAAACTTTTTAACTCGATCGGATGAAATTTAAGGGGGATCTTAATGTCGCACAATGAAGAACCCAGTTTTCTGGAAAACCAGTAAACGGCAATAGTTAAAAACTTGAAACAAAAGCGAAAAGTATTCCATTGAGGTACCAATCAGTTCTGAAAACATGAAGCCCTAGCGACTGTTAGCTTTTATTTCACAGCATTTCTACGGAAAGCCCAAGATGAGGGGAGAGGTACCCTTAAGGGCTGGTAAGACATATATGTCTCACTTGTTTATTTCTGATAACTGAATTTTAATCAACTAAAAGCAACTGTAAGTTTCCTTTCCTCACGTTTATTAAAACTTTCATGCACACTAACCCCTTAACTGTTAATTTTTTTCACTATCTAACAATCTTTTTACTCAGTAACTTTACAAATTCACAGTTATTTAAGACTAATAAACATTTTGTGCATTAATATCTTTTATTCTTACATGGAAAACAGATGTTACTTTTTAATAAGAAAGAGAGAAACATTTCTTTCTATGGGTGTTTTCAAAACTGAACGTTTTGTTCAAAAGTTTAATACAGTATGATAGATGCGAAAACATGGATCGACACAAAGTCCAACGTTGCAAACCGAACATTCCTATGTTGTTTCACGTCGTCTTCGATTGCTCTGAATTTCTGTATGACTATAGCAAGAAAAATATTAAATTCTTCAATACTCGTCGGCTGCCATTTGTTTATATGTGAATACTGTTGACAAGGATTCAAAGTATTACACATAGTTTTAACCTAACGATTTGTTTCATAGACGATTTTTTGTACCAGATTTCTAGGGACAATATAATTTCAGAATTCGATGGGAGTTTGTGCTTCGTAAGCTTGTACTTCATGATTTCCAGAAAAACGAAAAGGATCTCTTTTCACCGTTGTAAAAATTGTCTATTTACTTGTATCAATTTCATCAACTGTATCAGTATTAGTATCAGCATCAGTATTGTACGAAGTTGAAGTGGATGGTACCAATCGATCGTTACTTTCAATTTCGCTATCATTGTCAGAATCGTTGCTTGACATCTTTTCAGCGTGGTGAAACAGAAACACAATCGAGGAGTGTAGAATGCACACAAACGAAAATACGATATTTTTATTAGCGAGATTTATTATTATATGCGCAATTTGTCACACACAGATATTTTCTGAATTACGTCATATAGTTTCTGGTCTTTTTTGTTTTCTCTCACACACGTCACGTGTAAAGAGTATGTATACATATTAATTCTCTTCTTTGCGTTCTTTAGCTCGTTCTTTTATTCTCACTTGGTTTTTTAGAACTATTGTTCTTCACCTTGCATTTCACGATCAGACTTTTTCCTAGTAGATTAGACTGTCGTTCACTAACTGCCTTAAAACGTACATTTATATCAATATATGTAAACGATTACCTGTCTGTGTCTACTGCGATTGACTGAATAGGGCATAACAGTTATCACGAAACTGGCATACTTGTTGAAACAGCAACTATCAATCCACAAGCAGTACTGCGAAAATAAAACCTCACCGAATGTGAATTAAAATACGGTTGATACAGGATAACATATAATAGAACACATTAGAATCAGAAAACATCTTAAGTTATCATAGGATATTCGAAATGATCTATTACATACAGAGAAAAACATAGTTTAAAAATTATATTATTTATTTTTTTCATAAAGACTGCTCTGACGCCTATAGGCGTCGATAACAGTTAAGGGGCTAATGGTGGTCGTGTGATGATCGGTCATAACCTACGCACAGCACCCTGATATTGCTGAAACCTCCACTTATAAGAGTACAGATGAAGGTGACCACCAACGACATTGGTAGAACTTGATTATACAAAAGTCGCCCTTTAAAGGGTTAACTGTTTTCCAACTACTTTCAGTTTTCACCAAAAAATTGCGATGACGTTCTCCTTGTCTCAGGACAATCCCAAACTTTTTTATTATGGTTGAAGCTCGGGTACCTCTGGGGTGGTTGAAACCAACTGCTCAGATGGGAACAGTAGCATAATAACACTTAAAGACATCTGTTTTATGCTCCTGAAATATTATTATAAATGAAAAGTACGGAAAATTTCCAACTGATAACCTGTTGAACATATAAAAAATATATTGTGTCATGTAGTTTTTATTCTAATGGTATTTATTTTCGCTAAAAGAGCTGTTTAAGGCCCTCTCAGCATCGAAAATGAGAAATTTATTTTAAACCGTTAAGTATAAAGATATATACTTATGTATACGGTCGATCAGCCTGTAGCATCTAGTTTCAGAATCTATACAACTTCCACTAATACTGAAGGATTCGGAGAGTTTTTGAAAAGATTTTCCAGAAGTCCAATAAAAAAACAGACCTGCAGGAAACTTCATGATTTTCCTGCAGATTTTCCTGCAGATTCCTGAAATTTCCTCGAGTAATTTTGCCGTAATATTTCTTCAATAATGTGTAATTGTAAGCGGACATTTCTCTTTCAAATGATATCAGTACGATGTTTTGGTTGAAAGTTATTAAAGTCTTGCTGAAAGTACTAAATCATACTGAAATAGTCTAAAGGACTTCTTTCTGTAAAGTAATTTTTAACTTTAGGACTTTCGCCACTTTCCAGATTTCTCAGTAGCCCATCATAAAATAATACTTCTTTTTTCAATCTGTAGATAACAATTGTGGCTGCAGTCCCCTGAAGTCAGAATTTTAAATTACTCGTTTGATTTTTATTGAATTCTAGAAATACTAGGAGGCGAGGGGGCAAAGATATTGAAAACCTCATTGTGAGATTTGAGAAAGTAAGTGGTGGGATATGTTCCCGGTATCACTGTACCACATTCTGCATCGAAAAGTTAGAAGAAAAGTTGGGGAACTTTTTCTGGCGGAATCGTCCGTTTCATTTACACTGAAAAATCAATGATAGCAATGAAAATTGAAAAAAAATTATTCCTATAAAAAGATCACTTTTACTTCATTTGAAAGTTTTATTTCTTTACTTGCTTTTAGCTTAAATTTGCTCTGGACAACTAAAACCGAATAATTTCGCTTAGTATCTTTTGCGTATTCCATTGTCGTAAATCAAAGTTTGGATGTTGTTTCTAATTAGAGATGTGCAACCCGACCCGAAGGTAGGGTACGGGTACGGGCCAGGTATGGGTTCTACTTTTTTTTAATTTACGGTTAAAGGTTCTAGTGGAAAACCCACAAAATTTTAGTGAACAAATACAGAAATTTAGCTAACATAAATGAAGGCTTAAAAAAAATCACTTAAGAATGTAATGATAATTTGGCATCTTCAACCGAAAAACAAAAGCTTTTAGCTGGAAAACAAAAACAAGAAAATTTTTAGGTATAAGTCGATTACGAGTCGGGTACACAGTTCTCGGGTCGGGTTGGGTACGGGTACAAAGTTGTCTGGCCGGGTCGGGTACGGGTGGAAAAAAATTTTCTGGTCGGTTACGGGTATGAAAATGATAGCCGTGCACATCTCTATTTCTAATCCTTATAGCAGTCGACCAAAGATAGTATACAGCTCTGAAACGGCTCGTTTTGAAGAGAATTGTTTGTTAGACAAAACTTCAGCTATTCATATCACTCAGTGGATGTCCCTGAATCATTATAATGAAAGAAAAAAACTTGAAAAAAGAGACTAGTCAAAACGTGACGTGACTATTTTGCAGTATTTTTGGCCTTGACGTTTTAAGATATCCTGTTCCTGCTCAAAAAGATCATATTTATAAATATTACATTAAACTACGTCTATACAGAAGCTTCCATACTGAACCACTACTTTGTGAAGTTTTTGTAGAAATTTAGATTTTAGTAGCACAACAAAACAATTGGGCTCGTGATCAGTGAATTTTAACGCAAGAAGCTGGCAAAAACACTTGCTGATATAGATAACTCAATATACTTTATAAAAGGGCAGAAGCAAAAAGAAATTATTGTTTGAATACCGTCTAAATTGGACTGAGCGTCGCTCCAACCGTTTACTGTCAGAACTATCAGTATTCATTAAGTATGATTCCATGGATTTATGGAAGAAGCGACTAGAAATTTGGGAAGCTTTTCTTCTTAAGTAAATCGGAAGACGAAATGACCTAGCATAACAGTTTTACTGAAAGCATTTCTGACGTCGTCGTAAGGAGATTAAGTTATTTGAATATTAGATTATACCTGTATTTTATGTCGTGTTGCAGCATCCAACATGAGCTGTAATAGATCAACATCTTGATCACCTTTTTCTACTCTCATTTCTACTATCTTATGTATATTGTCTAGAAACCATGATAACGGCATTTGTTCAAACATTTTAATTGTAAACGGTAGTTTTTTATTTAATATTCGTCGAAAATGATTGTGTATTACCAACAGATGAGCAAACAATGTGTTAAATTCAGGTATAAGTAATCGAAGCTTGTAAATGGGATGTTTGAGCATATTAAGTGCAAAGAACTTTTCGGCTTGTTTCAAGTACATATTTTCCGGATTGCTTTGCATGTCAGTATCAATACCAAAGATACAGCGACCTAAACATGTCAATAAAAATATCATTTATGCACAAAAAGGTCACGTTTATTATCAACTTACAAACAACATCCATTGTCATTCGTTTGTATAATACATAAATATCAAACTCTTGGTTAGATTCACAATAACTGGATAACATATTAATCATTCGATCAACGCGATCATTGATTAAAGGTGACATTTGTTTCAGTTTCGATGCAGAAAAAGTTGGATTTATTATTGAACGTTGTCGTTTCCATTTTAGTCCATGTGCATCGAATAGGGATGCGTGTTTACTCGATGAGAGATGGAGTGACACAATCGGTTTTCTTGAATAGAAGTTTGAAAATTGTGTAATAAATACTTCTTGTAAAAACGTAAGATCAGATACAACATATGTCGGGGTTGTTCCTTCAAATATACCGTAAATATTACCATATAATTTTGTCCATTTATTCAACTGTCTCGATGGGTATGGCACGTTCCACAGTGTTTTTAAATTACCAAAAAATAATTGATAAGGTGGCGTTGGAATATTTTGTCGTTTAAAATATTGATAACGGTTTAATAGTATGGATACATATGTTAGACAAAAACCAATAACAATTATGAAAAGAAGAATTGTTAACAGCATTTTGACTGATAATTCAGTTAGTTTTATTTTATTATATAAAATGTGGTTACATATGAAAAAACTTACTGTAGTCTACAAAAAACGCGACACTAACAACGCTTTGTTTTGTTCTTTTAACCTGTCATTAAATAAGTATACGCACAGGGCGTCAGGTATAATTTCATTTCATTCTGTAGCAAATATAGGTATTGCTCGTCACTTATCAGTAGTCACCAGGCCCCTAAGCTGAAGTCTGAAATGAAGTAAAACCAACGCAGTACAGTGTAAAAAAAACAAGTGCCTTAGGGCATTTGTTTTTTCATAGTGCAGTTGGATAGTTATTCATATGGCGTTCTGCATAGTCTTCGAGCGCATGAAACTATAAGCAGGATATACCTTATAGGATATATATTAATATCCGAACCCACATCTGAGGCCGCACTGAAAGGATGCATTTTTATATACTTCGGCTTGTCTAGCTGACGGCCTTCATTTTTTCCTCTTTTTCGAAAAATTATTACAATAAAGCTACCAACTAATCTAAAATGGCAGCTAGATGATTAAGTATATTAAACATTCTCTACTGAATGAAAAGTGGCTCACAGCGTTACCGTTTTTCTGGGTTATCTTTGATTGATATAGATTAATTAGAATAGTTTGGAACTTCACAAGCTATCACATCTTTTGTACGATGATGTGCCACAGTTCCAGGAAAAATTGCGGTGCAGTTCGAAACTTCGGCATTAAAGCAAATCAGGTTATATTCATAATGTCAAACAGCCTGTAACTCTGTCGTTCGAGATCGTAGAAACATGGTCAACATCTCATTTTGTGGAGATTTGAAGAGGCTATCTAATGATATGGTTGAAAAACTTCTGAAAGGTATTTGGAGGTCACTAGATTTTCTAGAAAACCGAGTTTTTCAGAAATCTCTGTCTCAAGACCCCGAGGCTTAGCATAACGTTCCTTCATCGAAATGTATAGAACTCGACGCGCTCTTTCATTGGATACTTACGGTTTTCACCATTCGGTTCAGCGTTACTTGGCGAGGTAAAAAACATAGAAACGTTATCCGTCTTCATGCTTGAAAACATCACTCTTCAGTAGTAATATCCAAAAAAAGTGAGTGTTCGCACTTCCAACTAGAAATGAGTTACCAACCGTTTTGTAGAGTTTTGAAAGAGCTTTCTTTCGATATACAATGTAGACCGCAACCTGGGTTCTTTTCCGCGGAAAAAGCTGAAATCCTATCGTTGGCTATGCTCAAAAGGTCATTTTTAACAGTAATATGGCAAAAACGTGGGTGTACATAAGAATTGAGCAATAGACAGTTTTGTTCGGCGTTTGAAGCTACATCGAATGGTATATAAGACTTTTCTTCAAACTTCTTGTGTCAGAGAAAAATTACGAAAAACACCTCGGAATGGGCTCGCGGAGCTGTTGTTCAAAGTTGATCGATTTTCTAACAGATATGACGTCCGAAGGGGAACCAACGATGTAGAACCCCATAAAATTGTACGCTCTTTTATTCTAGATACCTTTGGAGAAGATCTGAAATGAGGCCGATCCTCGCTCTTAATGCACCCCGTCCTTTCTCTGAGTTTTTCAAAACTCTGGGATTTTTGGAAATTTTGAGAATTGAGAATTTCGGTTTAGTGACAATAAAACTGTGGTTGTGTGTCATTAAGGAGCTAATGCGACTTTTTGAAAGTGTTAACTAGAAACTATTATCATTTGGGGAGGCAGTGTGAGAGTGAGTTCGAAAAGTAGTTTCAGACTAAAAGTGATTGCATGACTCTGTATGAAATTATTAACAAGACTTCAAAGAGAAAACAAACGAAATACGTATCGAGTGTGTAGGATGAAATGTGGTCGGAAACCAAAATAATTGTTCTCGTGTTCCGAAGTGTCGCGTTTCTTTTGGCGTATTGTGGGTTGCATTTAGATGTATTTTTTCGATACGAAATGCGACTTTACTAAAATTTATCCGAAAACAGGAAAATTTGTTCTTTTCTAAAGTTCATATTTCTGAAAATCTCAGAAATGAAAAACTATGCAGGAAATATTGTGAAACTTCAGTCCAGTAGATAATTAAACGGACAATCACTGTGACATGGTGGGATAAAATATGTAGCAAATAAAAGAAAGAAAGGCAGCTATGCATACTAAAATTGAGATCTTTTTGAAAAGATGAGCGAGAAAGCTAATTTGTTTGATGTATAAAATTTACACGCATGAGTGTGTTGAGATTAGTGTCTGCGGACTAACGGCTCCAACTTACCATAGTGCTCTCAAAATTTTATTGGCACAGTGTTTGATACACTGAGCGAAAAGATTCCGCTATTTTATTCAATTTATCGCAGCGTTCATGATTTATACTGCGTCCTAGCAGTAGAAGGTGAAGAAAAACTATCAGGTGTTTTGATGAAAATTCATCAGAAAAAATTATTTTGCCGACGAAAAATGCACACGCTTTCCTTTCCAGGGATTAAATATGGTGCAAAGAAAATTGACCGATACATCTTCTGTCTAAATCCAGCTCTTCACAACCTTCTTAAAAAATTGTCTTCACTGCGTTTAACATTATAAAAAGCTTTTTTGTTTTACTGCGCTTTCTAGAACATATCTACCCATGCGTGACTAAACTGGCGCTGGGCGCATGTCTACCAGAGTCGCAGATCCACCATTGAAAACTTTTCCCTAGCAGCTAGGGCGTGTCCTTAAGTTTGTTTTGTTTCATTGGTGCGAAGAAAGAGATTTGAAAAACTTCAGCTTGCCTTGTTTTAGGCAAAAAAACGTATTTTATGTTTGGTGGACTATATGGGTAAAGAAAATTTTAGAAGTTTATTCGATAAAATTGATGCAACAAATGTTAAATTATGTGAATAAATAACATTCAAAAATAAAATAAATGATTTTTTCACAGCTTGAGAACATAAATTATTGATTCAAACATCTGAAAATTATAAATATAAAAAGTTTGATCTATTGACATTATTTGTTTGTTTCACTATTAGTGCATTACATTGGAATCAAGACTGTCTCTTATTTAAAAGAGATACAATGGATCATATTCTTGCTAAAATGTTTGGTTTGCTACGTGGTGAATCTGGT